TTTTTCAGGTTCCTAACTTTTCTATCTTTTTGGGGGGCTGCTATTTATAGGTGCTATAGGCCGATACCCCATGATGTATCCCCTTGTATCCCCATCATGGCTGGTTATATATTCTTCTTTTTTGCCGGTTAAATCCCCCAATTCATATACCCACAGGATTGTACATAGATGTCGCATATCGAGCAATGGGTCGACTAGTTCCAACTGAGAAAGCAGAACTCCTACTTTCTCGACCATACATGTTAATGTTGTATATCTAAATATTTATATATATATATGCATATGCAGCTGGGGTTTGTAAATTTGGACCTCGAATCCTCCCCCCAACAACAATTCTTGGGAAACTACTATTAAACTATGCGAGTTATGGAAAATATCCATATGTATCCCATCCTGTTGGTTGATAGGTCTCCCCACTATGTTTTGTATATATATATATACACTGCATATATGATAACTAGATACAACTCGCTATAATCAAGCAACCCTGGTCCTACTTATGGTCTTCAAGGCCTGAAAAACACCCTTTCTGAAACTTGTTGGGGAATTAAGGATTCCGAAGGACCTCCAGAAGTTGAAGGGGGAGAAGCCGAGTTTTAGCCTCAAAGCCACAGCCCACTATTTCGTGGATATGCCTTCACAAGCAGAATACAATATCCTCAAAGAAATTTGTGGTGCCTTGAGCAGAGCCGGGAGGGAGGTCCTCATTGGAACTACTTGCAGCGGGCTAGAAACGGGCGGGATGGTGGTTGAGAAAACCTTTGCTGCACTCAATGAAAGATTCAATACCAATGTCAAAGTGAGATCCGTGTTTGCTGCCGAATTGATTCAGGACTGGTATTATATACTATGTTCCTCTAAAAATGGTTTGGTGGGAAAGGCCCAGTATCGACATCAAAAGCTGGTGTCCTCAACACTCCTCGTAGTATGTGTGTGTGTATATATATATATACTATATATATATATATACACGCATGTATGTATGTATGGATGGATGGATGGATGTATGGATGTATGGATGTATGGATGTATGGATGTATGGATGTATGCATGCATGCATGTATGGATGTATGGATGTATGTATATATGTATGTATGTATGCATGCATGCATGTATGTACATGTACAATACGTATCTATAATATATGTATATTACACTAAAAATAATGTTCTTTTGTTCGTATGACCTGTCCATCTTTGGGATGACCACCGTGTCTATTTTACCCTGTTTTTTCAAGTGATATAGAAGATAGAAAAGTTGTTTTGGGCTAAATGGGTGTAAAGATCGAATGATAGATAGATTTGTGTTCATTTTGTGCAGCTGCAACCGAACAAATCCACTTCCAAGTCTACCAATTGAAGCAGCCTTTACTTTTCTATCTTCTGTATGGGGTCGCTATTTACGACAATTTGCAGTAACGACAATTTGCACGAGCATCTGTTTAGATCTCTCCTTCTCTCCCTCTCTCTCTCTATATGCAATATATAAATACACGTGTAATTTTTGGAAACCCTCTCTGATTGTTTGGATTACCAAATTGCTCGAACCCCCTGTAGGAGAAGCGCGCATTTATCCAGCGTGCCCACTTTGGCAAGTTGGATCACATCTTTGGTGATGTTTCAGAGTTGGTCAAAGGCAAGGGTTTTTGTGACATCCATGGGAAACAATGCCCACTTCCAAAGGTAGATCTTCTCATCAGTGGGCCAGCATGCACAAGTGTAAGTGGGGAAAATGTCTCAAGCGCAGAGTATGCCAATTGCTATACCGATGGCACAGGGGCTTCAGGAGTGACTTACCAGGCAGGCTACAGAGATATGATCGAAACAACAGAGGCAAAGCTGAGTTTTTATGAGAATGTCATCAAAGTCACGAACCGCACCTGGGTTTTATTGTGGAGGGTGGCAGGGAAAAGCCTGGAGCGTAGGCACGCACATTTATATACATACATATGTGTTTCTACATTTATTATACTGATTGTGCACAGTTGGTAGATATATGAATATACATGTATTCATGCATGCATACAGTGAATATACCCATAAATAAATAAATATATGTATATATATATATGCACATAATTGCACATACATATGCACATCCATGCAAATTCACACATATGCCGCAGGTGTTTCTAGAGGCTCGAAGTTTGGCGCCCGTGAAATTTGTTGATTTTCTTGCGGTAGCTATGGTGGGGTTTTCATGGCTTGACTATTTGATGATGTTCTACATAGTGATCTGTGTCGTGCGTGACGCTTTTCATGCCTTCATGGTAATCATCAAGATGAGCCTCAAAACCTTTTATCAACACACACCAGCGGGAGCCTCTACTACTTCAACCCCATCAACTGCTACTATGACATCCACTCCAGTGGCAAGAGCTATGGGGGCAAGTGAGATTCCGAGCGACAACATCCAATTCGTATACCAGCTAACAACAGCTCACAAGGCAAGTTTTGATCCTGCATTTTGGTTTTGTACGTAAATGTGGTGGTCCTACAGAAGATAGAAAAGTCATATCAAGGGAAAAAAAAGTCTTTGTGCCATTCCTTGCCAAGGGCTTTTTTACCTTTTTATATATCATATATGCTCAAGCAATGCAAATAGAAGCCAAAAAGACTGAAAGGGCATTCCCACTTCAACGCGTGAACACTACGGTCAAGTGTTTTCCAAAAGATATGAAACCATTGGGGACCAGTGAAGAATAATTCCATCCCTGCAATATTGAATACCCACCTGAAGCCCTTGGTTCAATTTTATACAAACATACATGTATATATACATCTATTGATTTTGGGGCCCATACTACGTCATACCGGCGGTAGTGAATACAAGGGGGGTGGGATTAATCAGCTACTGTGTCCAACACATATTTTTCCGACTACATTCATCTTTTCTGTTGGGGCCTGCCCTACACACGCAGGTGCATCTATTCAAGACATGCCTCGGAGGATCTGATGTCAACACTTATCCAGTCTGCTAGAACTGCTTGAGGAAACTTAATAAGAAGAAATGATGTGAGCAAGGTGGTTCGTTTCCAAGCTTTACCCTGCATCAAATGCAGACTGTGAAATTGCTGTGCGCATATGACATGCCCAAATGCCGAGAAAAATGAGTTGAGGTGCTCATCTACAACTGGGCATGGGTCAAATTTTGATAATATGTATGTATGTGTATATATATATATGTAAATATAAATATAAATAAATATATATATATATAAGATCGAAACATCACAAACCCAAAAGATTGGGCTAGAACCCCCCATGTGTGAATTTTGATCCTGGAATCACTTTTTGATGGGAAAACACGGTCGATATAGAAGATAGAAAAGTTGGTTGGAAGAACATTTCCCCCAATCGATGTTTTGGGTCCACCATCTTAGCTATGCAGAAACATGCCAAGAGCCAAATATTAGGGTCAATTGTGCCACTGCGTGATATTGTTTGGTCAGGGAATTCATATTGGTTGAACACACATACATATATATATATATGCATATATATATATATATATGCATATATATATATATATATTTAACCATATATACATATACATACTTCCCCAAAAATAGGTCAACATCTCTCAGAAGTCAATATTGTTAACAAAATCCTCCGTCCCCCTTGCGCTGGGGAGGGTGTGAGTAGCAGGGTGCTGGTTAGTGCACTTTTGGCAAGGATGTTTCCCAACAATGCGGCCTAGAGATCTAAATGCCATATAGATATATATATATATATACATTTCTGGAATCACTTTTTGATGGGAAAACACGGTCGATATAGAAGATAGAAAAGTTGGTTGGAAGAACATTTCCCCCAATCGATGTTTTGGGTCCACCATCTTAGCTATGCAGAAACATGCCAAAAACCAAATATTCGGGTCAATTGTGCCACTGCGTGATATTGTTTGGTCAGGGAATTCATATTGGTTGAACACACATACATAAATATATATATATATGCATATATATATATATTTAACCATATATACATATACATACTTCCCCAAAAATAGGTCAACATCTCTCAGAAGTCAATATTGTTAACAAAATCCTCCGTCCCCCTTGCGCTGGGGAGGGTGTGAGTAGCAGGGTGCTGGTTAGTGCACTTTTGGCAAGGATGTTTCCCAACAATGCGGCCTAGGGATCTAAATGCCATATAGATATATATATATATATACATTGCTGGAGTCAATTTTGATGGGAAAACACGGTCGATATAGAAGATAGAAAAGTTGGTTGAAAGGACATTTCCCCCAATCGATGTTTTGGGTCCACCATCTTAGCTATGCAGAAACATGCCAAAAACCAAATATAAGGGTCAATTGTGCCATTGTTTGATCTTGTTTGGCCAGGGAATTCAAGTCGAATATATAATAGAAAACACACGTACATAATGTATCAACATTTCTCAGAAGTCAATATTGTTAACAAAATCCTCCGTCCCCCTTGCGCTGGGGAGGGTGTGAGTAGCAGGGTGCTGGTTAGTGCACTTTTGGCAAGGATGTTTCCCAACAATGCGGCCTAGAGATCTAAATGCCATATATATATATATATACATTTCTGGAATCACTTTTTGATGGGAAAACACGGTCGATATAGAAGATAGAAAAGTTGGTTGGAAGAACATTTCCCCCAATCGATGTTTTGGGTCCACCATCTTAGCTATGCAGAAACATCCCAAGAACCAAATATTCGGGTCAATTGTGCCACTGCGTGATATTGTTTGGTCAGGGGATTCATAATAGTCGAATAGATATTAGATAAACATATATACGTACTTCCCAAAAAATAGATCAACAGTTCTCGGAAGCCAAAACTGTTAACGAATTCATCCGTCCCCCTTGCACTGGGAAGGGTGTGAGTAGCAGGGTGCAGGGTTGTGCTGGAATCTTTTTTGGTGAGAAAACACAGTGGATATAGAAGATAGAAAAGCTGTGTGGAAGACAATTTCCCCCAATCATACCTGATGTTTGGTGTCCACTATTTCATCTGTGCAGCTGAGGCATGTCGAACAAGGAAGGGATTCCTCAACAACCTCTCATCCTCACCGTGCTGAAGGACCTGGAAAAGTTGGGTCACGCCTTCTTTTACCAAAAGATCGATGCACGAAAGTACCTCCTGCCCCAAAGGCGAAACAGGGTTTTTGGCTGCTCAGTCAAGACTGGAGACAAGAGCGCAGAGGAAATCCAAGACCAGGGCAACTGTTGGAAAGAAGTATTTTGTAGAATGGGGGCTGGACCCACAGAGCAGTCGTTTACTTTGAACGATTTGATGCAGAAGGGGCTAGAACCGCAACCCCTCCATTCTCCCCAAGATGTCCGCAACTGGAAAACGGTAGTGGGAAAGGCCAAGCTGAGTGGTCAGAAGCCAGAAGAACTATGTATGCACATGGGGTCCTCAAGTAACAGATTGGAATGGGCCCACCTTTCCTCAACCTGCATTCGACCAAGCCATGACATTTTTTGTGGGGCAGAAAACAGGCCCTTGACACCAATTGAGCTGCTACGTTTGCAGGGGGTTTTTGCAAGTGACTTTGAATGTCCCGACGCAGTGACTCAGCTTCCTGATGCCTTAGCCCGAGATTTTGCGGGCAACGCATTTCCTACTACAGTTCTTCAAGCCAATCTGATTTGTTCTATGGTGGCCCACCCTCATGCATGGCACTGCATGGCCACCGGTGTTGATGCTCCAGCCCCTCCAGTCGCAACAAGGGGGAGGAAGAGAAAAGACCAAGGATCTCAGGAGGGTAACCAGCCTAACAAGTCTCGCAAGAAGAACACGCAGGAGAAGCCGTCTGGGGGTGCGACACTTTGCTGCAAAATACAGTGCTAGGGGAGCTGCAAAGGAAGGGGTCACTGCTTATATAACACAACATAACACACATGGGCCAGCGCAACATGTACTTGCATCATTAAAAAAAACAATTTATTGCTATCAACAATGGCTTCATTCCCATCAAAAATCCTTTTGCTAAGCATTAGTTCCACCCCGAGGAGTGGCCATGGTGAAGGTGATGGTGAAGGTGATGGTGATCATGGCACCGACACCACGGAGAAGAAGAAAAAAAAAAGCAACAAGGGAGATTGCATTTGCATTGCCAAGAAGATTGCCTTGATTGACGAGTTCAATGCTCTGAGGGATGGTGGGTGCACGAAACCGAACCACGAGCCTCATCTGTTTTTTTTAAATATTGGTTGGTTTTTCCCTCCCCCATATGTACCAACTTCAAAAGCTCGCTGCAACAAATCTCATACCTGACTTTTCTATCTTCTATATCCATCCGTAAGGTCTATCAAAACATAGACAGGGCTTTACAAGTTGAGTTTGGCATTTCACTCCATGCATCCGAGGAAATGCTGAAAAGAAAACGTCCTGGATACTATTCTGGATGTTGCTCCCGATCCAAGTGGCCTTTGTCTAGAGAGAAGTTCAAGTGGGACAAGTTTAGCGAATTACTTCCCAACCAAGCTAGCAAGAGAGATGAAGTCCCTTCATGGCTGAAAACCAGATTGTGTGAAGTGGGGAAATTCAAGGGACCAAAAAAGGAGACCATTCCCGATGAGCTTCTCCAAATAGCAGATGCCATTCTCATGGATGAGGTCTCGAGGGGCTTGGAAATGTGCAGAGAATCAGTTTCCCAACTGCTGATTAGCCTTATTGACCTACACAACCAAGAAGCCGAAGCATTCAACAAAAAAGCACAGAAAGAACACATGGAGAAAGCGTGTGAGCTGGAACAGAGTGGGGAACTGGACGAAAAAGAACTCGAAGCCTTTTTGAAGGAACAGCCTCAACAAATCAGCCTGATTTCCAAAGAGTGGACAGCCAAGAAACTTGAACATATCGTGTACCGATTTTGTAGAATTTGGGGCTATGGCCTCTACAGACAAGACAGGCCTTCCAAGCATCTTTCCCGAGAGCATCCCTCGATGAAATCCCTTCACGAATACATCCAGTTTGTCAAGGCAGAGAAAAAAGCGCTGCCCCGCTTAATGTTCAACTGGGACCAAGTCTGGACATGTACCTTGGAAAGGGTTTTATGTTGATGTTTGCTGGTGATAACTTTTCTATCTTTTAGGGCACCACCTATACACAGGGGTTTGATAGATACGGATGGATGGATAGACAGATAGACAGATAGACAGATAGTTAGCCGGACACTCCAACAACCTTTCGATCCATCAGTGGGTTCGCTCTGCCATCCTTGACTCTCAACAACCAACCTCTCCTATAGGTTTCCTGTCTTTGAAACTTCCGCCACAGCCTTGTGTGGTACTACTGGTAGATACGAATGGATGGACGGACGGAAGGATGGATGGGGTCTATATTATATAAATAAAACATATAGATGAAGAGTAGTCTACACATGTAAACAATAAAAATATATACACATGTCAAGGGTAGGAAGGTATTTAGCTATCTATCTATCTATCGGTCTGTCTGTCTGTCTGGATGTCTAGATTTGCAGGTCTTACTCAACCCTGCCAAAACCAAGGTCTTTACGAGCCCAGACGCAAAACCTTGTTCAAGAAGGGCGATAGCGGTCCCAAGTCTGATGCGCTCTGGTCTTCCCAACGGAAAAAGATTGCAAACAGCTTGCTGTCAGATCTTTTTGGGGCTGATTTGAAAGAGACCCTCAGCTATGATTCAGCATGCATGCATGCATGCATGCATGCATGCATATATATATATATATGCATCCCCCAAAAAGATAGAAAAGTTGGAAACCTCCAAGCTAAAGTGACTTAAGCGGGAAAATATCGCGGCAATCTGTAATATACTGTATTTTTTCTATCCTTTCAGGTGCCCTATAAAGATATATGAACATCAATCAATCAATATCTGTGTATATATATAAATATAAATACAAGAGATATAGGAAGTGTAAGACCCATTCACAAAGATCAAGGGGCACAGCATCTGGAGCATTCCATGTTGGTTTTTAACTCCTCCATTGTGGGCTGGAACAAAGAAACTAAGGAAGGATTTGTGGGAGTCCAAGCTGACCCAGCTGGGTGCATATGGGACCTCAGTGACGTGTCAAGGGTGGCGAAGCCCGCGAACGACCACAACTATAAGTTGGGCTGATGGGGAGCTTGGACCGGCTTTCATATCGTTTGGGGAGGGGCAGCTTGGGGATCAGGATGTCAAAGAACTCAACAAGGAGTATGCGGGTACCTTGCACATTATGCAAACGAACAAAAAGTCGCACATGTGGAATGGGGAGGTCTGTGTCCAATTTTTTGAGATGATGACCCAAGAAATTCGACGCAAACGACTTGCCCTGGGGTTCCAAAATGCAGCTGATGCTCCATGCTTGGCTTTATGTGACCGTGCACCTTCCCACCAGTCATCCGTTTTTCAACAAATACGAGTGAACTGGGCCAGGGAAAACAATGTGATCCTTGTTGGGGCAGATCTTGCAGGGGAGTGCAATGTGCCGGCTGGGTTTGGAGCAGTGATGCAGCCAAACGATCAGTGGCTTTGGCATACAAAAGTAGTTTTTAGCATTTTCCTCCTTTTTACCATATCGATACAGAAGATAGAAAAGTTGACAAAGCTACTGAAAATCCATAAAAACACGCACAATACCAAGCAAGCAAACAAACTAGCATACGCGCCGCTCATACCTAAATCTGTATATATATATAACTCACGCAAATGCGCAAAGTAGTTCACATATGGTTTGCAAAAATACAAACGCGCGTGCATGAGTACGTACAGGCAAACATACATACATACATAATATATATATATATAACATATACACCTGCATTTATGGGTGTACACGTACATGCAAGAACACATGCAACCCTTTCAGGTTCCATCAGTTCTTCCACTTGTTGAGATCTGCTTATTTGCGCGTTGCATGTGGAGTTCCTACAAACCCGCTGCACTCAGAGCTAGCTGGCAAGGAGCTCGGGCCGCAGAACGTACCTACCATATCATGCCCCATACGAACATCTTTAGCTGCTGATGCCTTCGCGCTCAACAAGCTACGTGAATATCGAAAAGGATCCATTGTGCAATGGGCATGGATTACAACAGGTCACGTGTCGGAAGAGGAAGTAGCAGAATGGAAATTCGACAAAGACCTTGACGCCTTTCAGGAAGCCATGGCTGCTTGCAGAGGGGGGATCAAGGAACTTTTGCACATGACAGAGGTCCCACCTGTGAACCATGAGGTGCGGGGTGTTCAAACTGATACGATCAAAGTGGTTATATAAGATTAAGATAATGTAAGATAGCAGAACCAAACTTTTCTATCTTTTTGGGCAAGCCTGAAAATCCACACTTTGACACCAAAACCGATGTTCTGTGGAATGTTGTCATGCAGTGTTTTTGCGGCTGCGCAATTTTCGATTCAACAACCCAATACCAGGAGTACAAACATGCTTGGCAAGGAGCTGCTGGCATCCTGAAAGGTGAACAATTTCATGCGTGGTTTGCTGTTCGACAAGACACTGGCCATGGGGACGGCACGACCATCCAGCTACCCCACTTTGTGAACACCCCCCTAGAGGTACTGATCAGCCATTGGCTCGCGACGAAGGAGGCATGGGACAAACGGGTTGCAACCAGAGCGCTGGAGGGCAAATTGCTTACGCCCAAAGCGAAGGAGAAGTTTGACTCTCGCACGCATCTTTAATGAAATACCTATCTATATATGTATAGATATCTATGGCATATACGTATATATATATATATAATCTGTTTCTGTGATTACGCAATAAACGCGGGGTAAGTGCGCAGTAGCAGCAGGATACAGAAGATAGAAAAGCTCCACAAAAGGGACACCAAGGGTACACCATCATAATTTTCTTTATATTTATGCAAGTAATAAGTATATTATATATATGGGGGTTGTTGTTTCATCAGATAGGGGACTGCTTTTAGAAGAGTCGCATTGCAAAGACTCAAGAGGGCTATGGCCACGGGTAACCAACACTAGGAGGGTGTTTGCTCACCAACCCAATGTGTGAGTGTGTAGTGTGTACACCTTCCGCCTTCCTAGCTTAGCCTTCGAGGATGCATTTTCCTCGGAGCCAACTCGAGTTCTTGTGGTAGACTTGCAGGAGCAGAAGGCGATTGCTCCCTCCAAAGTAGCTATCAAACATTCTACCAACAGGTACGTGGTGATGACAATTACCATGTCCCAGCAGGCTGAACAGCTACGTGTCCGGTTTGGCAGTGGTGCGATGCACAAGTTGATTGTGCGTGAGTATCTTGGAAAAATTGTTTATGTAGCACAGATTCAGGAAGGTAGACCTCTATGACTACTTGAGGGCCCACCCCATGACTTTTCTATCTTCTGTATTATATTGCCATGACCAATAAATTTTGCCGTAAACACCCCAGAGTTCAATCAAAACGCAACTTAATACCTTTTTAGTGATTGTCTACCATGACAATCTGGATCTAGCAGCTAAAAAGGACCAACACTTTGAAAACCCGTCTTTTCGCACAATGATGTACTTTTCTATCTTTTTGGGGGATCCTTTTTTTTTCACGGTTTCTGCTAACAATTTTCTGTACTTGAGATTTGGCATTATTTCTGTGCGTGCTTGTTAAAAATACCCTATATGTGTATTCATACAGGATGATGCATCTTGACATATGAACCAGGACGTGGATTTAAATCTAAGAATTCCCTTGCAGACCAGGACTTGGCTTCGGCTAACATGTGTATCTATGATCCTGTTTCTATACACGGGAACATGTATATATATAGTATGTATACATACATGTCTATATGTATAAATATAAATATAAACAAAAAAATATATATACATACATACATACATACATACATACACGCCACCTGTTCTCGGCCTTTGCTGCAGGTTTCAATCTGAAGGTGCACATGGAGATCCGGTGGGCTTTAATGACCTACCACCTGCAAACCCGGAAGACATGGACGATTTGCAGGGGGCTCCAGACGAGGACCCTGAGGCTGGGTTGGACGAGTCCGACGAAGAGGAGGACAAGTATCCAGGATGTGTGGAGGGTGAGTGAGCGAAGAAACAACAGGAGATTAGTAATGCAGAGATACATGCTTAGACCGGGTACATGCCATGAAGGACTGGGGAAATGGATTCAGCAACGATGAACAATAAATACCCAGAGGACAAATTCCAACAGACAGTATCACACGATACAGAAGATAGAAAAGTACCTTTAGACTTTTTAGACCAAACATATTCCTATTTCCGTTCCGCCCAGATCCAAAATAGTTGCAACATGGCAACCTGAATAGTATTTCGGTTCCAGGCCCAGTTTGAAACTGGTCAAGAAGTGAGGACGCCACGAAGGAAATTCCTGGTCTGAACTGTTCCTGATATTTTGCAATTTGAAGAACATTTTATGGTTTGATTTCTTGTTTTTGTGTTGTCGCATAGACCCCGGGCGTCACGAATTCAAAATTCAAAATGGTCTTGTTTTCCACCAAGGTAAAACCTGTTTTGGAAGCAAACATTCTTTGCATATGTCCATGAGATCCGCACTTCGAAACAAACAAAATCCATGTTTCATTTTTGGGTTGTTTGTGCTTGGTTTGTCATCCAAGTTTTAGTGCGGCGGGTCTCTTGCATGAACCTAAAGGGTTCTAGGACCGTTCACAAAAGTGTTTTTCGTCCCAGATCCTGCAGCCTTTTACAGAGCTGCCTGCTTTTGATTGGGGGACTAAGTGACAACTAAATCTTTGAGGGGCAAAATCGCGTGCCAAGACCATCACAGAGTTCCATGGTTAACTTTTCTATCTTCTATATCGCCCTGGTATAGTGCACTCCAAATGGGGCCCCTTAAAATTGAAATGATAGATAATACCTAGTGTTTGGATATATGCAGTTTACTTGTTCGATTTGGATGGCACTATCACCATGGTCTTCACTGAGATGTTTGTGGGAGGGGTTCCCCTTTTCCAAACTAGTTGTTGGAATTCAACATATAAATCCATCCATATGCAAATATATATATATATATTTACTGGGAATCAATGGACCTTCTTATGAGCTTGTGGATGGAGGACCAAAACCATGACAGCGTTTCAGGGTCGACTTTTCTATCTTCTATATCACCCTGGTAAAATGCACTCCAAATGGGATCCTGTAAAGATAGAAACTAGATACTATGGTCTTCACTGGGATATGTATTTGTTTGTGGGATTGGGCCCCCGCTCTTAACAAAACAAGTTGTTGAGATGCAAATAACGCAATGACATAAATATCTGTTATATATATATAAAAATCATCTGGTTGGGGCCTGAAAAAATGGATGGATTCTTCCAGATTGGGGTCCTCAGAAATAGCCATGTGGCCAAGTCGGACCGGGAACGGGCGGTTGCGCAGGGTGTCAAGTGTCAAGGATATACACCATAGAAACAGCTGGTAAATGGGGAAAACCCTTGCCAAGACCCTTGAAAGCACGGTGCAAATTCCTCTCGTTTTCTTTACATATTCAAATATATATATATATATATGTATGTAGATTTGGGACTTCTATATCATGAGGGCCAAAACCGAGCCATGCAGACTCAAATGATGCCATGTTTGATCGTTTTGTACCAAACTGGCATACCAAAGATGTGCCCAACAAAAGAGGATGTCTTTTGATCTTCACGATTGCAGCACACTGAGTGCAAATGTGCCGCTTTAGATATGTATATATATATTATATTCATATACATATATATATATATGTATATATATATATTATATTCATATATATATATATTTACATGTATACATACATTAGTGATGCAAAATAATACATATAGCAGCCCCGGAAAACATAGAATATCTCCTCCTCTGGTTTATTCCTGGGCCGGTCATATACCCGCTCCAACTTTTCTATCTTTAGGGGCATGCTGCAAAAAAGGAGGCAACATGCACTTTGATGTTTGCACAGCATTAAATGTGCCTTGTAGTTTTTCTATCTTTAGGGGCGTGCTGGTATTTACATCAAAAATGCACATCAAACATTGATGATAGACTAAATTGTGTGGAAATAGCGTGCATATATGCACAAAAATTGGTTTGCTTGACAAAATCATATTAAGGCATACTTGAAAATGGGCAAACACCCAGCAAAAAGTCAAGAAAAGCTTGATTATATGAAGAAAAACCATGGTGAAAGGGAGAGCAGGTTAAACATACGAAGAAAAACCCAACAAAAAGTCAAGAAAAGCTTGATGATATGAAGAAAAGCCATGGTGAACGGAAGAATAGGTTGAACATATGAAGGAAAACCCAACAAAACACAAAGAAAAGCTAGGAAGTATGAACAGGAACCATGATGAAAGGAAGAACAGGTTGAACGTGTGCCTTGCACCCTTTTGTTGTAGCTTTTCTATCTTTAGGGGCGTGCTGGTATTTACATCAAAAATGCACATCAAACATTGATGATAGACTAATTGTGTGGAAATAGCGTGCATATGTGCATTATGATTATTAACGGATGTAGGGTTTAAGGTTAGACACGACATATTTTTGATAGAAATGTCATTTTTGAACCAAATTTCGACCAAAAAAAAATCGAAAAAAAAATATTTTAAATTTTCATTCCAATACCTTGAGCATGATCCACTGAATGCTTTAAACCTGATTGTGGACATAATTTATTGACAGAAATCTTTTTTGAAAAAAATATAAAAAGTTTCAATTTTCATTCCAATACCTTTGAACTGCTCCACTGAATGTTTTAGAACTGATTGTGGATATAATTTATTGAAAGACATCATTTTTTAAAAAAATATTAAAAAAAACAGCACATATGCACAGTTTTAAAATTTTACAAACTATAAAAGTGACATTTCTCATTTTGCATCACTTTCCTGCTCCTTATTGTGCAGAGCTGGCTCCGGGCAGATGGCCTGAACAACGGTGTGGTCCAACGGGGAGACACAGCAGAAGAATAACGGAAATGGGGAAACACAACGGGAGAACCACAACGGGAAAGTGATGCAAAATGAGAAATGTCACTTTTATACTTTTAATACTTTTTAAAAAGTAGATTTCTATCTATAAATTTTGTCTACAATCAGTTTTAAAACATTCAGTGGTTCATTTTGAAGGTATTGGAATGAAAATTTAAAATATTTTTTTTTCGATTTTTTTTTGGTCGAAATTTGGTTCAAAAATGACATTTCTATTCACAAATTATGTCTACAATCAGGTTTAAAGCATTCAGTGGATCATGCTCAAGGTATTGGAATGAAAATTTAAAATATTTTTTTT